CACACTTAATGAAATATTATTTTAATGAAATTATATCCTAAATCAAAATAACCATTTTACACTTACTAGTAAAGCTCTTTGGAGAGTTAAACTTGACGATTTCTTCTAAGAACTCTTGAATATTACCGAGAACCTTTGTCAACACAAGTTTATTCAAAAATTTTATCCTGGGACTTCTTTTTAAGAACTAGCTGGCTTTTGTATAAACTGTTAATCTCAGAAAACTACTTAAAAACATCATTTTCAGTATAGATAGATGCTAAAGAAGGAACTATATTACAAAGTGTACTTCCTTTTAACTTTCCTACTAAGAGTGCTTCATGCTTAGGATCCTCCAATGCTTCGTCTCTTGGTCTTGGCACATATATGGACTTGAAGCCCTCCACTGGGCTTTCTGCATTCATGTCTGTGACAGATTATGAATACAAACTGTTCAATCTGTACGTCACAGTTCATTATGTTCATACTAAACAATAAATAATCATTTCATTGTACACACACTATTTCTGGATTTTATTTTTAGTTTTTAGGTTTTGTTTTTCTCGAGCATAAGTTTGAATATCAGGTGTGTAGAAAGAGAGTTTGAATTGAAAATAGGTACAGGTGTATGGATGGAGGATTTATGTGGTGTGTGTATAAGGATACAAGCTAGTGTATAATTAGAATATAAAGTGTGTGTAATGAGAACAATAATTTATAATTAAATTAATAAATATATATTGAAAAAATAATGTGGATAAGTGTGGGGAGCCTCTATTTACACACCATAATTTATCTCAAGGCAAACCACTTCTAAAGGCACACCTTTAATAATTTGGTAAATAAATATTTTGCTCGTCACACACCACAAATTTGCATATTTACCCTTACTCACACACCCACCCACAACAATATACACACAAACTTCCATCTTTACCCTCACTCACTCGCACACCCCACACCCACGATATTCATCTCCCCCTCCATTCTCTGTTCAAACCGGTGAACATCATAGCTCAAAACACAGTTTTTCTCATCAAAGACGTCATCGGTGATGGTGCTCAACACAGGTGGAACTTCACATTGGAGATTCAGTAGGTGAGTTATCATTTGGCTTTGATTTTAGGGTTTTATATACTTATTTCCATTGCCATGAAATTTGTATTTGAATGAATCAGTTTCCTGTTCGACACTGGATTTTCGAACCCTAAACATTTAACATTCGTTCGACACTTGATTTTCGGACAATATCATTTTGTATGCTTGGTGACTGTCAAACATGTTCAGATGTAGATTGCCGAACAATAATAATATGTTAGGACAGATACTATCAAACAGTTTTTTTTTTTTTTTTTGAACATTAATGTAGGGAGACAATAATGTGAATGAACCTTATATTCTTCCTAGTCAATTTTATTCATCCAAATTGTGAATGACCTTTTATTCTTCCTGAACTTGGCTCTTTCTAGTTATCATAATGTCTGAAACAATAATCAAACCTATGGAAACAAAAACTAGAATTGCAGAGCCAATGTACACTCCATCTTTGACTATGTAGCACTCCCTATCTAACCAACCTTCCCCATAACGCTACCTTGTGTTCATACTTGTGGATGCACTGATTAATACAATTGCAATTCTAAAGCTAAACCTGCAATAATATTGTTTACAAAACATGTTTGTATTATTGTTTGTCTCAGACCATGTTTCCCTTTGCAATTAATTGCTTTCCTAGTCCTAGCTGTTGCCAATCTAAGGGGTGATTAATTGCTTTCCTAGTCTTACATATATAATTTATTCTTAAGAAATTGCACATGGGATGCAATATCCCCATTCTTTTATGTTATTGTCCCATACGACATCTCTATAAAACTTATGTTACCCTCATCTCAATTACTGTTAGACAAATAATTAAACATATATGTGTATGGATTACTGTTAGACAAATAATTAAACAGATAATTAAACATCTCTATAAAACTTATATTACCCTCATCTCAATTACTGTTTGGGCAATCAACTAACCCTTCAATCAAGCATATATGTGTATGATTACACCAATCTCAAAACATCAAGTACTGTTTATAATAGTGTTACTTCTGTTAACTTTATTGTTTTTTGTTTCATTTTCAGAAATGGATGACCCTTCACGTATTCCACTCATTTCCTCAGAGAGACGATGTTATGCATTAACTAATACTAGTCGTGGTCGAGGTCGAGGTCGAGGTCGGGGTTGGGGTAATGATATTGTGTTGGAGGAAGCACCTCAAATCTTGGAAGAGGATGTGATCGATAATGGTTTAGGGGATGATGATGATGTTGCTGATGTAGATCAAGATAAGGAGGTACTCACTGGTCCGTTTCCTGGGAGGCTATCAGATCCATCAGTACTGAAGAGCTTCAAGGCACATATTGCAACAGCTATATGGGAGCAAAAGGTAGTATATTTTTTTTTCCATGTTTGTTTCATTTAATTATTTATTGAACAAAATTATTTATGTAGGAATCCCTTAAGGTGTTATAATCATGCGTCCAAGATTCTTGAGTGGCGGTGGTGGTCAAGAACTAACAATATAAGGTTTAGAGACATTGTGCAACAGTCAAGCCTAACTTCTTTGGTCCATTGCACATATCGGTTCGTGAATAGGATTGTCATATCTGCATTTGTTGAGCGATGGCAACCAGAGACAAATACTTTTCATTTGATAGTTGGTGAGATGACAATGACATTGAATGATGTGGGTACCATCTTGGGGATCCCTATCACAGATAGATCAGTTAGTGTTGTAACTTTGGCAGATCAACATGCACATGCGCTTATGGTAGATGCCTTGGGAGTTGATGATGCTGAAGTAACTGGGGAGCTATCATCTACTAGGGGACAATCAGTGAAGCTAGAGTGGTTACGAAGCAAATTCAGTGGTTGCAAAGATTCAAACAACGAGGAATCCATAGCTTGTGCCGTCAGAGCGTATTTGCTATTTCTATTGGGATGTACACTGTTCAGTGACAAGAGTGGGATGAGAGTTCCTGTTGTGTACTTGCAGTTGTTGATGGATTTGTCTGATATTCATACATATGCTTGGAGTGCAGCTGCATTGGCATATTTATACCGACAGTTGTGATTTGCCACAAGATCAGCTGTTCAACAGATGGCTGGTTACATGACATTGTTGGAGACATGGATTTATGAGCATTTCCGGCCATTTAGACCTTACCAAAACATGGAATATACTGTACAATTACCTCACGTGCATTGATGGACTCCTCGTCGAGAAGCTGGCTCAACCATATCACACCTACAGGCGTTACGGGAGGAGCTTGACAGATTGGCATTTGATGAGGTATACCAATTAATATTAGTTTAATTAAGTTTTCTTATTACATGTCACTCATCAAGATTTCATTTGTGTTTCTCTCTTAGGTTACTTGGGATCCATATCGACATTGTCATCAACATCACCAATGTCATGAGATCACATTCTATACTGGCTGTTTGAAGTGTTTGGATGTAGTTGAACCCTATCATCTTGAAAGGGTTCTTAGACAGTTTGGTAGGGTTCAGACCATCCCACCTGTGCCACTCGACCCTGTTCATGTTGTTAGAGGTGTCACAACAGGCCGATATAAAGTGATGTATCAGTATCTTAATTAGATATAGGAGAGTTGGGATAATCATGTTTTATTAGCTCGGAAGAGGAATACCCCAGTCAGACGTCCCGTTGATTGTGTTGATGGTTACATGCAATGGTATACAACCATTACACACTTATATATCCAAAACCCCACACATTGGTCTGGTTTTGACCCACGTGCATAGGATAGTCAATTCGACGTGCAAGATGTTGAGGTATGACAATATTGCGCATACATCATTTACATTTTTTTTTAAGATGACACGTGTTAATTATAATTGTATTTGTTCTTAATGCAGTATATTGATCACTTACTACGGATTGCCCATTCTATCATTGAGGCGGGTCATGATGCTAGTGTTCGTGAGCCAGATAGGTTATATGAGGCCATTGGGAGAATGACACATGTTCTTCAGGGTCAACAAATTGATGAGGCTGAACCTAGTTCTATTCTACTTCGAACATACAATAGTAGGAGATGAATAGATGATAGGTAGATGGTTATGTGGTAATCTTGTTTTGTTATTTTGTAATGGAAAAGAAGTACTCTTTTGATGTTTTTGTTGGTTTGTAATGAACAAGAATTATTCTACCAATATTTTGTAATGAACAAGTATTCATGGTTTGTATTTTTGGTAATGAATTGGAAGTATTATGCCATTACGTTTGATACATTTCAATGAACAAGTAATATCATGTGCATTAAATCAACTCAAATTTTAATCCAACTCAAATATTTAATTGTTAATCATTAAAAAAATGTATCGGTAACTTTTTGAATTGCATAACTACAACTCAACTTAACTCACATACATCATTACTTATCAAGGTTAGTGTAATCAAATATCTCTCTAGTAGCTACCCCTGAATGAACAACTTCTTTAAAATGCTCATTTCGGCAACTATATGCAGTATCCCATCCAGCCGCACAAGAATGATGAAACTTGCACCAATTGGTAGCTATCGGTGGAACTGGATAACCCGGTAACATGAACACTTACATTAACAAAGCTTTAAGTATGAGAGCGATGCAGTACAAAATGATAAATGTATTACACAAATCATAATGCTATACTTGGACAAAATGATTCCCATTAACAAATCCAATAGCAATCTCACGCCATTGAACTTGTGATATTGGCATTGATCGCAGGGGGAGGAATATAAGGCATTGTTGTGCAGATAAGTGATACAATACCACATTATAACAAAATGCAATAAGATGACCCATGTCAGGCAGAGTCATCTAATGGTGATACCTTGGATGGGCTCAAAATATGATAGAATCTGAGTCAGCTCTTCAATTCTGTCACGTGAACCATATAGATGAGTGTAATGGTCTATGTGTGTGTGCAATTCCTGTAGGAGATCACGCCTGACTTGACCTTATTTAGCCTCTGTAAACCCCATCAACCCAGCAATGGCCCTAAACCCACAATTGCCATCGGTATCTATATCCTTGATAAGACGTATGTACAACTTCAATCCAACTGGGAGGGTGTCAACATATGAATAAATCGTATTTGTACGAGTCCGATATACCTATTCAACAGGGAAGGCATCAACAGAATCTTGTGTGGGGATCTGGGTGCCCATAGGTGAGTGGCTAACATGTCCAAATTAAACTAGCTCAAATGCACATGGGTCTCGACGCGTAGATACATCTATCTTCTTATATCCCTTACCTCGAGTGTTGGGCTTGACATCCAGCTCAATGAGAAAACTACTTTGCGGATCTGTAATTTCTCCTAACTTATGCAGAATTTCCAACTACATAGTGTAATCAGATGCATTGAATTGCTTAAGTATGAGATCAAAATTTGGTTCACAACTCAATTCCACTTTATCATTCTTCAACTTTTGTACTACCCCAAGAGTCCTCTAGTGTAGGTTAATGCAATCAAGTGGTATTGGACGACCATGTCGGATGTAATCCGCAATCTCATGGGCACAAGGTAACCCGTGTGTTCGTCGAACAACACATCCACATACTGAAGCATCAATGCCAACATCATTCGCTCGCTTACTCTCCGCTAAGACATGATCTAATGCAGTAATAGAGATATTGCCTCGGAGCTCTCTAAAATGGGATGGTTTGAACTAGTGTCATACAACGGTTAAACTCTTCTCAAACGATGCCTTAATATTAACATGTTACAACTCAAGCAAACTATGGATCTTGGTCCAAGAACACTCAAAATTGACTTGGTTAGAACCAAGTTGCCGTTTCAATTTTGCATGTGCACTTTCAACCCTGTGTACAATGGAAACAATTAACATAATTAAGTTTAAATAATCAAAATCATAATGACTAATAGTGTAAGGTAGACAAATATATATTACCTGTTGGTTGTAACATTCCCGAAGTGCATACAACTATCTGTCCATACGGCAACAAACTTATCCTTATATGGAATTAACCAACTTTGTGACACATATTGCATTGCCTCAGGACATGTATCAAAATCCGCAAGTAGCCTAGCAAGGTGTTCATTGTATTCAAGCTCAGTTGAAGAGAGTACTAAAAAATTCCATAAAGAGATATACTTGTCCTTCTTCCGTACTCTTAAAGATTTTCTTGCATTTCACCAGTACATTTCTACTAATATGCCATCAGCATAATAAATGTCGAGATGTAGAAAATACCCTGTCAATAGCATTCATCAAAGCAAGCTCCCTGTCCGTGACAATCACCTCAAGAATAGCAATGTCATCCAAGAGACTACGCAATGTAGTTAACACCCAAACGTAGTTATCAATCCACTCAAATTGGAGATATGCAAAGGCTACGGAGAATGACATATCAGTGGATGTCACACCAACTATCTCAAGAAGAAGAAGACGATATCGATTTGTCTTATATGTGCAGTCCATGATCAACACTTTTGGAAATGAATGGAGCAAATCTAAATTGACAGGATGTGCCCAAAACAAGTCTGTGACAGTCATCATGTTGTTGTCACTCCTATGCCGCTCAATGTAATTATGCTTTTCTAATTCACCTAACAAATGTTGCATTTGTGATCTCGCACATTTCTCAATAACATTATTCCTATGACGTACATTGTAAATGGTTTTCATAGTAGTTACATTTAAAGCATCCTTTCGTTTCAATGTAACCAAAATCTCTTTTGGTCTGACCATGTTTTTGGACATATCCACTAATAATGATGTTTCCTCCTCAGATAATCTCCCTGCAAATGAATGTCCTTCAAAATGTTTAGCAGGAGCATGGTTATGCATTCCACATGCTACATCTACCATCCAATCATCATCAGCTATCAACTTACGAGCCCTCAACTCAAAGGGACACCCACATTTCTTTATACCCGTTATCTTCACAATTTTTTTGTTTGAATCATCTCCTTTTAATTTCTTATGAGCTCTGTATTGACCACTTCTCTCACAAGCAAGATATATCCTTGGGTGTCGTATGACCACCACCATAGTCTGATGTCTTGATGACAATTACAAATTCATTTTTCCTTCCAACATCCCATACCCAACCGAGTAATTCTTCTTTGCTCTTGAAAACCTACAAGTCAAATTCAACAAAGTCATTAAACATGCGAAAAGAAAAAGAAAAAAAACACTAATTTTCAACATGAGACTACCTCATTAGTAATAAATTGACTCGTGTAGTCAACAAGACCCCCAAATCCAACATCACTGCATT